GTGGGTCCGCTCCTTCGCTGGCACCTTTGCCTGCAAGGACCGCCGCTGCACGCTCCTTGGCAAACTGCGTGGCTGCCCACCAACTGTTCCGGCCCACCGTGAAGCAATCCGCGTGGACTCTAGCTGCGGGGAAGGCGTGATGATGTAGCCGGGGCGATCCCGGATCCGAGCTTCAGGCGAGTAAGTTGTGTCGCTGTCTGAGGTAGCCACATAGCTGGAATGTGCCGCAACGTCCTGTCCTACATGAAGGTCGACCTCAGGCCACACCCGCCTTTTGACGAGCATAGCACGGTGGGCGCGGTGATAGCTGCATATGCTGTGCACTGGCTCGCTCCCGTCATAGTAGCCATCCTGCGACACGGAACTCCACGGTGGTCGTGCCGCCACCGAACGCTCGGCCCTCCAGCGTAGTGAGCTTCGGCTAGCGATGGCGCACAAAAAAAGAAACGAAACATGACATGTCCCGCCATCGAGTGATGATCATGCTGTGCGGGGGCTTGCGACCCGAGAGGCGATAACGATAAACCCTTCTAGGCACCCAGACGTGGTGCCTGGCGTGGTCTGCACACCCTCCTGGCCTCTGCCAGGAGGTCGCATGTACAATTGTGGCCCCGGCCAGGCACGGTGGTGCAGGTGCAATTCTGCGGAGCTGGTCAGGGTAGACAGGGGGGAGGAGCTAAAGGAGGTAGCGAATCGGAAAAATGCAGCTGGTCTTGCTGGGCGCCTCGAGGCGCTGGGAGCGACCGTACATCGAGAAACATGCCTGGCGGAGAAGCCGAAGCCAGCTGCATGCAGCAGCTTTGGGTAATTACCCCCCGCCCCCTGACCTGCAGGGACGTTGTTAACCACTGCCGCAGGCCTATAAAAATCCTGCAGAAGTGAGGCGTCAAGACACAAATGCCAAACTCAAGGCCCCTCAATAAAGCATCCTAACGATGCGGCCGGGAGAGAACTTAGAACGGTGCACGGGCCACGCCCATTCCCAAGGAATGCTTGGCGGTGGAGCCGTAAGTAGCTACATACGGCAAGTTTCGTATCCCCCCTCCCCACAACCCATTTCAACATCTGCTGCCCTCCCATAACCCCCGGAGGCCTACAAAAACCGCACGAATCACCCATGGGCCAAAACCGTCAAACTGAAACTCTTTCCTCCATCCCCCTCATGGTCCTCCTCCTCCTCTTCCTCCTCCTCTGAGTATTAGTTTGATTATGATTGTTAGTATCTAGTAGTATGCTTATGCTTGTTCTTATTGTTGTTCTTATTACTATTAGTACTACTAATCTTACGCAGCTCCCGGCAATTGCGGATAAGAACGAGGGGGCGGCGAGGACGTCGTCAGTCTGCGAGGCTCTGAAGAAGCCCGCCGCAGGCGCCTAACTTTTTACAAATTATGCAGTGAGCCTGCCGCAGGCGCGAATTTCTTCGTTAAAGCAATGTGGGTGGATCGCTAGGTGGGTCGCGGATGGGTCGCGGATGGGTCGCGGGGTGGGCCGCGGGCCGGGTCGCGGATGGACCGCGGGTGGGTCGCGCATGGGTCGCGGGTGGGTCGCGGGTGGGTCGCGGGGTGGGCACGGAGCTGGATCCGCAGCGCGAGGGGCGGAGCCCAACCAGATGACGAGGCTGAGTGGGAAGACTGGTGCGAGGCCCACCTCACAGTGGAATTCCAGCATATGCGTTTTCAACGGGTGCTAGCAGCTCGGGGTCAAACTGAAGACTTGTGACCGCGCGTGCCTACGATTGCTTGACGCGCTCTCGCCTGCAGCGCGGAACGCTGCATGCGGCATGCACCAGTATGATCCGGATCAACTACGGAGCTGGATCGCCAATCCGAACCACCCACAGAGAAGCCTCGACGTCCACGCTGGCAGCCGCGTCCGCGCTGGTACTCGGGGGCGACGGCATCTGCAGCATATGCGGCCGCCTGTATCACCGTCCATGGCTTGGGGAATGCGTTCCCCGGGGGGGCGGGGGCCCTCGCATCTCGCGGATGCGAGGCGCCGACGCCTTGCGCCACCGTCCATGGCCGGGGACGTCCATTCCCCAGGGGGGCGGGGACCCTCGCACCTCGCGGACGCGAGGCGCCGACGCCGTGCCCCGACCCCGAGGAGGTGGAGACCCGCAGCTCGGGAGCCATGGGTCCTACTCCTGACCTTCGTGACCTTCCGCGGCAGCTGGGGCAACTGGTGGGCATGCGTATGCAACGCAAGCCGCGCATCGACTTCTACGCCCTCTGCGGGTACGCCCCCGCCGACAAGCCCCGAGCACGACCTATCACGGCGGCTGCCCAAGCAGTACGCCGTCTTCGACGATGTTAATTGAGCTTTGGGTTGTATTCCCTCTCGGCGTGCACCGTCACGTCACTACATGAAGTGGGACATGCCGGCTCGCGGAGCAAGTGCCGACCACGACCCTGCAGGGCGTTGAAGTGGCATGGACTTGCGGGACTTGAGATCGACGACGACCGTGCTCCTCGCGCCGCGCCGTGAGCTCCAGGAAGTAAAGTAGAAGACTGGGATGTTGGGTTTACTTCAGGTGAGTCCACCAGGTTGCATGCACCAGTGCTCACTTCTTCAGTAAAGCCTGCTGCAGGCGCCTGGTTCAGTTTTGTGTTTTCCAACGCTTGTGCCAGCGACGCACCTCCCGTTCATGGGGCGCGGGTGCACTCTCACGGGGCGGCCGTCTCCTGGGCGCAGACGATGGTGTCGCAGTTGTCGAGGTGGCCCTGCCGATGCCCCACCTGTTGGACCTGTCCCTTGCAGTAGCTGGCGGACTACCGGTGCACTTGGACGTCTCATTCTCCCGAACCTACTGAGCCTCTTCTTCAAGTGGTGGTCGTCGATCGCGCGGTAGGTAGTGTCGAGACCCAGGACACTGTGCACCATCAACTTCTTCTTCGATGTACTCGTAGGTCGGGCGGTCCAAAAAGCGCAGCCGTCTGACCCGAGGGTCGGGCACTGGGCTACCCACGCGGCGGGTCCGCTCCTTCGCTGGCACCTTTGCCTGCAAGGACCGCCGCTGCACGCTCCTTGGCAAACTGCGTGGCTGCCCACCAACTGTTCCGGCCCACCGTGAAGCAATCCGCGTGGACTCTAGCTGCGGGGAAGGCGTGATGATGTAGCCGGGGCGATCCCGGATCCGAGCTTCAGGCGAGTAAGTTGTGTCGCCGTCTGAGGTAGCCACATAGCTGGAATGTGCCGCAACGTCCTGTCCTACATGAAGGTCGACCTCAGGCCACACCCGCCGTTTGACGAGCATAGCACGGTGGGCGCGGTGATAGCTGCATATGCTGTGCACTGGCTCGCTCCCGTCATAGTAGCCATCCTGCGACACTGAACTCCACGGTGGTCGTGCCGCCACCGAACGCTCGGCCCTCCAGCGTAGTGAGCTTCGGCTAGCGATGGCGCACAAAAAAAGAAACGAAACATGACATGTCCCGCCATCGAGTGATGATCATGCTGTGCGGGGGCTTGCGACCCGAGAGGCGATAACGCGCGTTCCCCCTCCAGACCCCCCCAGTTGATAAACCCTTCTAGGCACCCAGACGTCCATCGCGCGACTCTTCGAATCTTAGCGCGCTTCCCGTCATCCGCTAACGATTGGCCAGATGTAACCTGCCACCCCATATTAGTAAGAACTTTATTAAATATGATGTAGATTCAGTCAGAACGTCCAGCTCGCTTCTCTTACCTCGAAGACGCTTCCCGTCATCCTCCAGCAAGGTTCGGGGTGCGATGCGGACCCCAAAAGTAAAGAAAAACAGCTTCCGAAAAACGGTCCGCGCCAGAGGCGCTTCCCGTCATCCGCCACCGTGCCTCTGGCACGAAGTGGAGTGCCCCAAGGCTCATGCTGTGCTGCTGCTGCAGCCAGAATTATAAGTCTCTGAGGGCCTGAACCAGCCGATTCCCGGGCCGTCTTGGGCGATCTCCGGTTTCTCAGGCTGGCCCCCGTAAGTTCCGGGGCGCTTCCTGCGGATCCTCTGGACGCTGTGACCGCCCAAAGCGGTCGAGCAGAGCCCCGCCTCGCCGAAACATCGCTCAAAGACGCTGCCAATGGTCTCTAGATGACCCAAGACACCTCCAAGACGCCCAAGGAGGCCTCCAAGAGGCCTCCCAAGAGGGCCCGAAGAGGCCAAAATCATTGATTTTCCTCGGGTGTTTGAAGGACATTCCCCAACTAGGCTTGCCTACGGGCTTCTTAATTGGTTAAAGGTTGGTTCCTCGGATTCTTACGTTGCCCGTCGCTCGGAGGTTCCCAGGTTCCTCGTCCTCGGTGCCTCCCATTCTTACGTTGCCCGTTGCTCGGAGGTTCCCCAGGTTCCTCGGATTACCCGGGTTCCCAGGGTTCCTCGGGTTCCCCGCCCCGTGCCTCGTATTCTCACTGTGCCCGTTCCAAGCAAAGCCAAGCAAAGCCAAGCAACGCAAAGCACTGCCAAGCAATGCCAAGCACTGCGCCCATGCAATAGGGACATTTCGCCTAGTTGGGGTCGCGCCAGGTTCATTGGCGTTCTCGCCTTTTCGGCTTCCCGACGCTCCCAAACGGCCCTGAGGACCTCCAAGGCCGCCCAAGACGAGCCAAGAGGCCTCCAGGAGGGCCCCAAAACGGTACGAGAGGGCCCCAAGACAACCCTAGAGGCGCCCAGAACGGCCCAAGAGGGCCCCAAGACGGCCCCAAAAGGGGCCCAACAGAGGGAACACGAACCGAAATCCAAGCCTTCTGCCCCAAGAGGCCCCCAGGAGGCCCCAAGAGGCGCCCAGGAGGCCCCAAGAGGCCCCCAAGAGGCCCCCAAGAGGCCCCCAAAAGGCCAAAGGGGTCTCCAAACGGCCCCCAAGAGGCGTCCAAACTGCCTCCAAGAGGCCCCCGAGAAGCCCCACACGAGATCCCAACGAACATCCACTAGGTTTCGTACCCACCGCCCAGGCACGGTGCTGGCATGGACCGAAGGCCATTAGATAGTCGACGTCCCCACACTGGCTCCCCGTGCTGAGCGGACGGGGGCCACCTAGCGGCCACGGCGCAGCCAGGGTGCTCCCCCAGCCGGGCACCTCGGGCGCCAGCGCCAGCCGGCCGCCCGCTTCTGCGGCCTGAGGAGAGGGGGGGACTAGACCGAGAGAGAGAGAGAGGGAGGGAGGAAATCTCAAGGATGCCAGCTGCAACTGCCTCGAAGAAAGCCCACTCGAGTCTCCCAGCATACGTGGTCCAGGGAACCATGCTCCCTCACCATCACCCTCTGCGCCTGCTGACACACCACTGTTGCTGGCGTGTTGCATACAAGGAGGGAGGGAGGGAGGAAGGGAGAAGGGACCCCCGGGTTGGCGCGGCGCACCGCCCGTCAGCCGAAATGATTCAATTCATCCCCCGGGAGAGTCTTACGCGCACAATCGCCCGCCCTGGGGGCGCTGGCCTCGGCCTCACCCAGAGAAGATTCGGCTCGGGCCTCCGAAGCTGAACCAGCGCACACAGGGTCTCCGGGGAGCAGGCGCGACAGCCTACTCTGGGGGCAGCTGTCCGCACCCCTCAACAAGGGAGGAAATTCCTCCCCCATCCCGTTTGTTTTTCTCCTCCACGCGAACAGGACCCGCGCGCCGCCTCACATGACTGCGCGTGGGCGGGGGAACTCGAGATGCAAGGAACGTCCTCCTCGTCGTCCCGACATTGCTGCTCCTCTTGCTCGCAGGACGTGATGCTACCAAGCTTATCCGTATGATCATCCTGCTGCTCCTATTATTCCCAATCATATTCCTCATCTCCCGACGTTGTTGCTGTTCCTCCTCCTCCTCATCATACTTCTCGTCGTCGTCCTCATCACCATCACCATCATCACTATCACAAACACCATCATCATCGTCAGCACCAGCAGAATCGCCATCATCATCATCAGAATCAGGATCACCATCATCATCAGCATCATCATCATAGTCATCAACATCACCACCAACATCATCATCATGAGCATCATCATCATCCACATCATCATTACAAACAGCAGCATCATCAACAACGTCATCAAAGCCGGGTCATCCTCAGACCGTCACAATTCCATCATACCATCAAGTCAGATCCATCATCATCATCACCATCATCATCAGCATCAGCATCACCCGAATCATGAATCATCAGCAGCAGCCTCAAGATCATCAGCATCATCATCGACATCGTCACCACCACCACCACCACAACTACCACAATCATCATCATCATCATCATCATCATCATCATCATCATCATCATCAGCATCAGCATTAGCATCATCATCATCATCAGCATCAGCAGCAGCATCAGCATCATCACCATTTTTCCCGTGCTCCGCAGTTGCACCCCGCGACTTAATCCTGCCCGCCGCGACCAAGCCAAAACGAACACTGAAACGGCCCGGCTGCAGCCCGGGGCCTCGGCCAGATCGCACCAGTGCAATCGCGAGGACTTCAAAAAACTGCGCGCGCTGGCGGCGCAGTCGAGCACACGCCAGGCACGCAATGAGAAGGGGAGGAGGGAGGAGACAGGAAGAGGAAGGAGAGAGAGAGAGAGGGAGAGCGACAAAACACCAAAGCGATAATCTAACATTTTTACCTAACAGCGAAGACTGATAGGTTTCTAGTGGTCTCAAAAGAGAGCAGCAGATGACTCCACAGGGGGGTCTGGGCGGGTGCCAGACAGGGTGCCGCAGAACTCATTTTAAGCCAACAGTCACACACTTCGTGCTCTTCGACTTCCCAAAACTCCATTCCCGGGCCACATTCTGAATGCCCGGAGCCAACTGTAGGCCACTTCGTGCTCTTCGATTTCCCAGAACTCCATTCCCGGGCCACATTTTGAATGCCCGGAGCCAAGTGTAGGCCACTTCGTGGTCTTCGAGTCCCAGAACTCCATTCCCGGGCCACATTTTGAATGCCCGGAGCCAACTGTAGGCCACTTCGTGGTCTTCGAGTTCCCAGAACTCCATTCCCGGGCCACATTTTGAATGCCCGGAGCCAACTGTAGGCCACTTCGTGGTCTTCGAGTTCCCAGAACTCCATTCCCGGGCCACATTTTGAATGCCCGGAGCCAACTGTAGGCCACTTCGTGCTCTTCGAGTTCCCAGAACTCCCATTCCTGGACCACACTTTCAGCAGGGGCAAGAGCACGACGAGGAGGAGGACGAGCAAGACAGGAGGACGAGGACGAGCAGGAGCAGGACGAGGAGCAGGAGGAGCAGGAGAAGAAGGACGAGCAGGAGGAGGAGGAGGACGAGCAGGAGGAGGAGGACGACCAGGAGGAGGAGGACGACCAGGAAGAGAGGGGAGGAGGAGGAGGAGGGGGGGGAGGACTACCAGGAGGAGGAGGAGTGAGGAGGAGGAGGAGGAGTGAAGGAGGAAGGAGGAGGAGGGAGGAGGAGGAGGAGGAGGAGGGAGGAGGAGGAGGAGGACGAGGAGGGAGGAGGAGGAGCACCAGAGGAGGAGGACGAGCAAGACGAGGAGGACGAGAACGAGGGCGACCAGGAAGAGGAGGAGGAGGAGGAGGAGGGGAGGGGGAGGACTACCAGGAGGAGGAGAGGAAGAGGAGGAGAAGGAGGAGGAGGAGGAGGAGGAGGAGGAGGAGGAGGAAGAGGAGGAGGAGGACGAGGAGGAGGAGGAGGAGGAGGACGAGGAGGAGGAGGGGGGGGAGAGCACCAGGAGAAGGAGAACGAGGACCACCAGGAGGAGGAGGAGGAGGAGGAGGAGGAGGAGGAGGAGGAGGAGGACGAGGAGGAGGACGAAGACGAGGAGGACGAGAACGAGGACGAGCAGGAGGAAGAGGAGGAGGAGGAGGAGGAAGAGGAGGAGCAGGAGAAAAATGAGGAGGAGGAGGAGGAGGAGGAGGAGGAGGAAGAGGAGGAGCAGGAGAAAGAGGACGAGCAGGATGAGCACGAGGACGAGCAGGAGGAGGAGGAGGAGGAGGACGAGCAGGAGGGGAGGGCGGCCGGCTGCCCCGGCCAGGTCCTACACATGGCTGTTAGGTTGCTTTGCCGGGATAATTGACTGAAAATGGTCGGTTTCTCTGGCGGCTTAAAACTCGGCGAACATCCAGAGACAGGAAACAGGAAAGGAACAGGTGGGGGATTCCCGACGCAACGGCCCTGCAGCTACCCGCACAGGCCGGGCCCCCCAAACGAGGTGGCAATCACCCAGCCACGGCTCAGCCGCGACGGGGCACACCCACCTCATTGGCGGGGCTCGCGGATAGCCGAGCGCCGGACTTCGAGGGAGAAGGAAAAGGACGAGGACAGGAAGAGAAGGGAGGAGGAGAGGCGGAAAAACGCCATGGCGCAACGCGGATAGGGAGCACCCTGGCCGCTGCTCTGATGCACGTTGTCTGCCGAGAGTGAGACACAGACTAAAAATGGGGCACCCGACCCCCCCCTAAGGATCCTCGGGGGGGAACAGCATTTGGACTGCGAGCTCCACGGGAGCCAACCTACTCATGCGGCTACCACGCGGGCGAACCAAATCTACCGAAGTCGCCGGCGGCGCGATCCTACTCTTCTTCCTCGCCCCCCTCGTCCTCGGGACCCCATCCGAGGGGGCCCGCCGCCTCGGTCTCGTCCGCAGGGGCGCCGCGCGCCAGCGCAAAGGCAGCAGCGTCGGCGAGCGGCGCGACCGCGCGCGCCATCGCTGCCCGCCGCCCGCAGATGCTAGCCCCGATCTCGTGGCCCCACCGCGCCAGGAAGTCCCGGCGACCCCCTGCGGGGAGCTCCAGGCCCTGCTGGCGACCGCGCCGCGCCGCGAACTGCATCGCCCCGGTCACCTGCGGGCGCGGGCGGCCATCCGCGCCCCACACCGTCGGTTGGCACGCGATGTTGGCCGCGCGCGAAATGGCACGGCCACCGGCGCACCGCCGGAGTTTCCGCTGGCGGCTCGACGGCGTTGCCCGCAACCGCCGTGGAGTCGGGGCTGGATACGCAGATGCCCAGCGCTGCCCTGCGGCCTGGGGCCGCCGCTCTCGCCAAGATATCGGCTGGTCGGGATTGCGTCTCCGCGAGCCCTTGAACCTCCACCGCTGCGGCTGGGTCTGCCGCCCGGAGCCCGGCCATGTAGGCGTCGCGCACTGAGCCATGGCCTCTCGCGCCTTCCCCCTTCGCTCCGCCGCGCCCGCAGGTCTTGGCATGCCCCAGGTAATCGTCCAAAAGTTGCCCGGGCATCGGCGCGTCGCAGGGCGCGCGAGGAACCTCGCGCCGAGGCGCCGGCGGACGTTGACAACGCAGTCCGCCGTGGCCACGACGAGGCCAGTCGCCGGGTCGAGGCGCCATAGCCATTGGTGGCTGACCCCCGGACGCCGGAGCCCCGCCCGCAGCCAGCGCACGGCGCCGTTGCGCCTATCCTCGAGCTCCCCGAGGGCAGCGGGGCCCCATGGGCGACCCAGCCGCCACTGCAGGCGCGGCGAGCTCACGGCTTGGCCGCGGGGGTTGTCTGCGCGCGGGCCCTGCGATGTCCCGGGCACCCCGCGGGGCTCGAAATCCCCGTCGCGCGGGTCGGTTCGGGGCCTCCACGCGGCACTGGCCTGCCCCGCTTTTCAAGTCCTTCCAGCAGACTCCCGCGGCCTTGCCGGCACCCGCGATGAGCGGCTCTGCCCTCGCGCGCTCGCGCCCGGCGAGCGCCCCGAGGCAGGCCGCCCTGGCGCGAGCCACGGCGGCCGCGCGGCGCTGCACCAGCGCCTCTGCGGGCGCCAGCCCCGCCGTGGCTGAGTGGCCGGCCATCTCGCGGACCAGGGGCTCTGCCGTGACCAGCGCTGCCAAGTTAGCCGCCGCTGCAGCGTCTGTTGCGCGGCGCCAGCTGCACCCCCCGACCGCGACCCCCAGCCGCGCCTGCCGGCGCCCCAGCTCGCCCACCCCCGCGAAGAGCCCACCCCAAGCACCACGGGCTGCACGGTCGACTGCGCCCAGGGGCCCGGGCCCAGGCGACCCGTCGCCTGACTGGCCCTGCCGCGTCGCCAAAGCAGCCCCGCGCACGCGCTAGACGCGGGCGACTTTGCCCACGTTCAGCGTCGAGTTGGCGAGCACGTGCTCGATAGCGGGGTCGCCTGGGACCTCTAGCTGTCTGCGCATGGCCCGCGCGACGTCTGCCTTCTCCCAGAGCTGCTCGATGACCTGGTCGACTGGCCCCGCCACCGCGCCCAGGGTGGCCGACCCCTCGCTCGGGCGGATGAGCGCGCACTCGCTCGCGAACTCTGCGACGCGCCACGCCCCCGCATTCCTCGCGACCTCCTCCTGGGCGGCGCAGAAGATCACCTCAGTCTTGGCCCTGCTGCGGCAGGAGCCCTGGGCAGCCCAAGCACAAGCTCGGAGAGTAAAATGACATCACCATCTCCCGAATACCACCAGCCTGCACTCCCGCCCCCAGGGAACACTCCGCGCCGCGGGTTCAACCCGATGGCGCCCCGACCGCCGTCGGCTCGACGCCCCCTGGGCTGCTGGGAAGACCAGGCTGTCTGGGAAGTCTCGCGCCCCCGGGCCTGCGCGCGGGCCTGCGCAGCGCCTGATGGAGCACCCGCCCACGGGAGAGTTCCCGCGGCCTGCTCCGCCAGCATGGCGCCCCGAGCATCTACGTTGAGCTTTGCCGTCGAGACGCCGCACTGGATGGGGCCGTAGACATCGCCCTGCTCGGCGCCCCGGCCCTCCCCGCGCGACTCTGCCCCTGGTCGTTCGACCCGGCTCGGGCGCGTCTGGCACCGCGCCGTCGGGGAGGCCAGGTGAGGCACTGCCGCCATGAGTGCGGCGCGCATCCACTTCCATTCTAGGTTCTGGTCGATCTTGATCCGCGCAAGCGGGCCCGGCAAACGACCCTCCAGCCATGCGCCGTGGAAACACTGGTGGGAGATGGCCAAAGCCTCAGCGCCGCCAGGGACCCCCACTCCAAGCTGCCCAGCGTTGATCATGGCCCTCGAAATGTCAGCGCCCTCCATGGCGAGCTGCCGTCTGGCAGCCCACTCGCGCAGGAACTCGCCCATCTGGATCGGTCGAGGCGTCGGCGGTCGCGTGCCGGGCACTGCCCTAGCTGCTCCTGCCCTGGCCGGCGCCGCCTCAGCAGCGCCCGCACTAGCTTCGTTTGCTCCTTGCACGTCACTAGCCTCTCCCGCCTCCCCCCCTGTCTCGCCCACCACGTCGCTATCGGGGACGTCCGCGAACCAGCCAAGCCACGCGTCGTCCTCCTCATCTCTGGCGCCTTCGTGCTTCGATATATTCAGGAAGATGACCTGCGCGTCGAAAGACCAGCGGCAGGCATCCGGGAGCGCGCCCAGCGCCCACCTGAGGGAGAACTCCTCGAGAACGCGCTGCAGCCGCCGCCTGACCCTGGGCTTATAATCCCGCAAAGCTGTAGTCAGATGCTCCCGGCGTTCTCCGCGAACCCCAGATGCTGACAGAGGGGGCAGTTTGGGCCACGGGAGCCGGACAGCGCCGTTGCCGCGTCGTCAGGATGTCCGAAGGCGTCGCCCCCCCGTGGCGCTCGCAGCCCCGTGGCCCGAGTGCATACGGCACATCCTGCTGTCTCCATGGCGCGGAAAGCACCGCAGAGGACGCAGGCGCCGTTGTCCAGGCGTTGGAGCTGCTGGACGGTTTCGGGCTTGAGGCGCTGGCCCCCGTGTTTCCAAATCATGTGCTTGAGGAGGCCTCTGTCGCCGCTTCGTACCCAGGTCGGGCTAGCGGTAAGGGCTAGCGCCGTCGCACTGGGCGTAGAACAGCCCTCCGCAAGGCCCCAGGGCATATTATATCCCACGCCTCTGACGGACACGCCGGCCAGTCTGGGTCGCGTTATGGCCGCCTCCAACACCTGTCGCGGCCGCTGGTGCCGACAGCGCTGCTGCCACCGCAGCCTGGCTGGCCGCCTGTATCGCCTCGCGCGCCTCGGGGCAGCCCCCAAGGTGCCATCCTTCTGCAGCACGCGAGCACGAGCAACTCGGTCTAGGTGCTGCCGCGCCTGCCCCGGGCGCTGTGGAGCCTGTGGCAGCGCCCCCTCCCTCGGCGCGCGGCGCCAGAGCAGCAGGCGGCGGGCCCGTTGCAGCTGATCCACTCGTCGGGGCAGCTGCAGCGCTCGAGGGGTCAGCTGGCGACACGGCAGCCGACATGTACTGAAGCTCCCTCAAGGGTATGCCAGCATCCTGTTCCATCGCGTTTTCTGTGTCCACCTGGAGCCCCGCGAAGGTCGCGGTGAAGCGCTCGTCGTCCTCCTGCATCGCGCGAGGCTCGTCGCCTTCGGTGAGGCTTCGGCGCAGCTGCCTCCTGGAGGCAGCGGTCTCCACAACGTCGACGAACGTGTTCCTCACTCCGACTCGCCTCCTCGACCGGTCCCGCCGGCCGCCAGCCTCGGCTGCAGGCTGCACTTGCGGCGCGCCCTGCGCCTGGTGCAGGCCGCATAGATCGGACCCCGGCTCCGCCTGGCCCTCCACGCCGTTCGCCAGGCAGCCGCGGCATCGCGTCTCCATCGGCGCCCTTGCTACAGCAGCGGCGCGCCCAGCGCGACTCCGGCTGGAGGGGCGTCAGGGGCCGGCC